CGGAACTCGCAACATTTCACCGATATCTTCGATGAAATTATCAACGCCTAAAATTGAAATTTAAGACGGTTTTGAAATGGTTTCATGAAGCTGCACAAATCACAAATATGATTTTAACTGACCTTTTCATAACATTTCTATATTTAGTTGAGAAAAATTATCTTACAAAATAATGACTACAGTTATTTGTCAGTTTGAGCAGTAAACGACGGCAATAAAATTGATGATAAATCAAGGAAAGCTGTAATCATAAATATTCTCAATTGATAATTGAATTAATCGACCTTATTCTCGTCAACTGAACTTACCATAAATGTAGCAAACAATAACAACCAGTAAAAGACTCAGTGAGAATGAATTCCAGTTGGCATTGAGGTTTTCAATCGAATGGAATATGAAAATACCACCCTGAAATTTAGATCGCAAGGAGCTGACAAAGTTTTTTATTCGGCGAATTAAGTTAAATGATCTTTTCAAAACAGTTCTATATCTAGTTGACAAATTTTTCGGTATAGACTTTAAACAAGCAATATTTTGTCAAGATAAAAAAAATGAGGGCAAAATGTAAGCACAATTCTCAAACGATCTCTCATAAACTCTAAATTCTCAAAAGAAAAAAAGAGTTTTTCGAGAGAACGTCAAGAATTACTCGCGTGGTGAGCGGAAGACCGCAAATGAAGCAGAAGAAACAAAGTCCAACAACGAGTCGAATTTCAGTATGTCTGTTGGCTTTATCGAACTTTTTCAACACTGATGAAATGATCATTTCTATCCTGAAATATCAATCAATCAAACCACGAATTAATGACCAAAACTGAGGAAACAACTGTGGATTGATTTATGGCTTCTCGTTTGACATTTATTTTATTTAGAGAAATATTCCTTAGTTTTTTCTAGGGAAATATTCCATTGCTTAGTTTCAGCTTATTTGGCATTAGATCATATGAGATCGATAGAAATAAAGTTTAGTATTGAAAGTGATCGGTCAAACTGTTCAGATCATTGATTGTAAATCAAATCAGTTCTGATTATTGGTTCTAAATCCTATAGCATCAAGTCAAAGAACAACGACGTTCCATCGTATAGGTAGGAAAATGTTTTCAAAGGAGGATATGAATTCTTAACGGAGGAATGTACAGTTTCAGTTGATCGGTGTGGGAAAAAAACGATGACAAAAAAATTGACGAAATCATTTTCAGTGACATTCTTGGAACTCAAGAGGGACAATATTTCGCTGATCACTTTATTTAACATGTACCATCGAAACTGAATGAAATACCATGCAAATTCGGCGTCAAGTGCCGAAAGCGTGAGCATCGCAAAGAAGAGCGCTGCCCACAACGGTCCACCCATCATGTCCATGAACGACGTCACACCAGGATATATCGTGAATGCTATGTACAACGAATCGTGTTCTAACAATAAAATTCTGTTAACAATTAGTTTGAAAACATGCAAATTGAATTCAAGTCTTACGGAGAGCGGTTCAAGTCTTACGGCGAATAATTGCCTAATCCAGTACTCCTTGGAAGGGAAATCCCCATTGGAAAGGCGGAGAGGGGACAACTTGAGAGGGCCTGGAGGAATTGAGAAGATTGGCAAATCGCTGTTGCTTGATACGTTCAAATCACTCTTTCACATTTTTGCAATGAAGTTTCAAAAATATTCGTTTGATCGATCATAAGGAACTGATTCCTTCGATTGTTGACATCAAACTGCCTGATCATTGGATCAATTTACTGATTTTCTGCTGATTTGTGGCGAAGAAATAATGAATTGTTTACGATTATAGAAAATGCATCATCAAAAAGCAAAACGTTGACTACATTGACGGAGATTTCTAGAAACACATTAGAGAGAGAATTTGATTGGGTAGTATTCGTCGAGAAACGGAGTCCCTTTCGGAGACTCGGACGAGGAGCCATTTGTAGCCATTCCTCGTCTTT